GGCGATCAAACTGCCAGAAACAACCGTGAGAAGGAAACCAGTCCCGGTTCGTTCCGCCGTGGCTACACAGGTAACTCCTTTTCTTCCAGAGAAGTTCGTGGGAGGAGTTTATGCTGGATAACGCATGCTATTAACTTCAATTTAAAACAGAACCAGGAAAAAAGGTTTAGGTTCGTTTTGCTATGATCTGGCAAAGTCCAAAGTGATATACAGCAGTGCCAGTCAAAAAACCTGAAAGTAGTGAGTCAAGCTCCACAACAGCAATAAGGCCAGCTCCATTAACACGGAAGGTAATACCCAAATGGAGTCCTTTTTATTTCCCCACTTGTCTCAATATGAGTCATATTTCTCAAAGTTTTCTCTGCAATGTGAGTATATGCTTGTAGATTTATACATGAACGCATGTAATCATATGTAAATAGAAAATGTGAGGAAAGACAGCTTTAAAAAAAAAGAGAGAAAGAGTTAGCTATACTGCAGATTATACTATCCCAACCCCAAAATTTTTGTATGCTTAACAGGTGTTATATCTAGCACACTGGACAAGACATCCGATACCTGAATAATTATGTTCAGGAGCAAAGCATTCACTCTGTTAAAACTGACTCCCTTGATGTCTGGCCAGACAAATTTGGCTTATAAATCTATTCATCCAGCTATTGCTTCTCATGGACATCGCTGTCTCGGGGGAAGTGTGGATTACAGGCAGAGGTACAAGACATGTCCAAGTAGTGCTGGACGACAACCAGTAAGTGGTCCTCAGGCCAAGGTTGGTATCCGGAGAGCTCCCTTCCCTCTGTGAGGCTCAGTACCAGCAGAACACTGGCTCTTGAACCAAAGCAGCCGTTTATTAATGCTTCACACACATATCAAATGTGGCTGAAATTGTGGTGGACTCAGTATGTCCACACTAATGAAAAGATTAATTACATGTAACTGGCCTGTTTCTGGTGCACCAGCTGGTTTGTTTAAAGCCAAACCAGCTCTCACTGTGCTACTCTGTGGCCTCCATTATGGATCACTTTTCTGCTTGTAAAGTTTAGGAAGTGCTTTTAAAATGAATGTGTGTCTGATTCTGCTCTTCATGAGTGGTGTATTGTCATGGAGGGAATGATGCTGGTGATGAAGGCAAAGAAGAGGAGATGGTGGTGATGAAAGCAAATGTCATAATACAGTGCTGCCTTACTGGCATCTGCCAGTCAGTCGATGATATCTGGTGCCCAGTTTTCCATCATGTAACAGCATAAGGTTTAGTTGCCATCCAGTCTGAGTAAGTTGCTGCAGGAGCATCAGGCTGTGGTCAAATCTAGTTTATCCTTTTAAGATCATGTTTTGTGATATTCTAAAAAATACATGTAATACTGTATACTGCTGGGAATACTTGCACAATTTAAACAACTGTATAAGGCTGGCAGGGTTCAAAATACTTAAGCTGGCAAGAAATAGATTTAAGAATGTGGTATTCCTGTGCAGTATGGTTGCACTATTCATCTCATTGCTGCTGTTCAGAACCAGTCAGTGTTATCAGAGACATTGTTCCTGGTGAACTGCAGGTCTGTCCCAGTGTGGAGGCCCCTTCCAGCCCAAGTACAGGAGCAGAATGGTACTGAGGTAGAAATGCAGCTCAAGGCCAGGGTAAAGCAGTGTTACTGTTGTCAAGATTGTAAGCATTTAATAGATGCAGTTGGGGTAAGTTTGAGTTTGCTCAGGAGAAGGGTGAATAAGATTTGACAGAAACTTCCGACCTCCATTGGTGCCTTTTTGTCACAGGTTTGAATTCTGGTTATTCACTGAAGGCTTGTGTGAGAGGACTGAAGCACCAGGAAATCTCTGCCCAGCACTGTGTGACCAGACTAAATTTGGCCTGCTGCTGTGGAAAGTTGTTCTGATTCAGTTAGCATAGCATCAGCTTTCCTGGACACGAGTCTAGGACACAGCATGGGATAGAGTCCTAAAGCAAGTGGAGCACAGCAAACAGAATTGTAGGAAATTAGACATGACTGTTTTTAATCCATGAAACAAATCTCCAGCTACCATTTTTGTCAATAAGGGCTGGTTCTAATTAGGTGTGTAGCTATCTGTGGAGCAGCTGTCATATTGCAGGGTACAAAACACTTGCCTGAGTGTTGCAGAGAAGACGGGGCTCAAAACTGTCTGGGCAGGGGAAGAGTTCCAGTGTGAAGGACTGTGTTGTCAGTGGGACTTACAGTATCACCTCTAGTGCTCTTCCCCACTGGTTCAGTGTTTAGGCATGAATGTGATAAATTTTGCAGGAGGTAAGTTTGGGTACAGATCTGGATATCTGAAACACTGAAGGCAAGCAGTACAGTAGCTGCCCAAGGATGGCCCTTCATCGTGCACGTTTGTTAGACCTAAGCTATCCCTGACAGATATTGGTCAGACCCATCCAAGCCTCTGAGCCTCCCTACACTACTTGTGGCTTCACCAACCGTAATCAGTAGGCAAGAAACTTTGAGTAACTTTCTGGCAGCCTCTGTTTCATGCCACTGCTTACAGAAATCAATTTGTGAATAAGGTTGAGAAGCGACCAGATTTGTATGAAATCAGTATTGATTCAGGACTAAAATTAAACTATTTGAGAAGAACACCATGTAGGACTGGATTTAGATCTAAGGGGATGGATATTCCCTGGTGTTACAGTGTAAATCAGCACATAGTGAAAATACTGGGAAGCTGTCTAATGTAGCACACCAGTACCAACTGACTGTGGATTTAGTCTGTAATCCTTAAAAGGAGCATTGAGTTCCATTAGTTTACAGATGTTTACAGTGATGATTTATATCATCACTACAGCATCCCTCCTTTAAGGGTGTTCCCCTAAGCAGAGGAGTATTCCTTCTATTCCCATGCTGCAGGTCATGGCAGAAGACGACTTGCCAGGTGTTTTGATTCTGGATGTAGGAGGAATTCATGGTGTGCTAGAAGACCTTGCAGCACTTCTGAAGAAACACTTTCGCCTTGTCACCATGAAGGAATTCCTTGAAAACAAAAAAGAAATGAGAAAAAAAATCCAAGCTGTTTTTGTGTTTGAGTGTAGACCAACTATTGACCGGGAGCTTCTAGAAAGCCTGCCCAATGTAAAGGTGATTGGAAACTCTGGAGTTGGGGTTGATCACTTAGACTTGAAAATGATTGCTAACTTTGGTGTGAAAGTGACCAACACCCCACACGCCGTGGCAGACTCAACAGCAGACATGGGAATGGCCTTGATGCTGGCCTCTGCCAGGAGACTAGTGGAAGGTAATGGTTTAAATTTTCCTGGATCTTAGCTACTCCTTTGACATATTTCATTTTTACTATGATACAGGTGATTTGTCCAAATCAGTATTTTGGATACTTTCTCAGGGAAAAAATGAGGACTCCCCTTTTCAGAGGCCTCTGCTTATCTTAGCTACTGTTTCTTTTTAAGGCAAGAATGACAAAAGTAAAGCCTTTGTCTGAATTATGCATTTTAAAGTCAGTTGTGATAATCATGCTTAGAATAATATCTGTGGCTTAATTCTCTGTCTGTTCACTGGGTGGGTTGTTAATAGCTATAAAAACTGACTAGAAAATTCACCCAAATCAAATGTGACCACCTCTCCATTTCCCCTTAGAACAAGTGTTAGGAGCTACAGGAAGGCAGGAAACATTAATGGCCATATCCCTGTATCTAGAGCAGTAATTAATATAATCTTAATTTTTTTTCCTGCTTCTGTGAAAAGTTTTTCTAAACGAATGGGTTGTATTTCCAGAAGAGCACCAGCATTATTACTGAAATAGCTGACAATCTTTTTGACAAAGTTATTCCAAACTGTTCCACCAACATTATTTTGTGTCCTTAAAGGTTGGTCCTTTCCCCACATGCCCTTTGTCCTTCCCACACACAATGCCCTTCAGGGGGAGGGCATTGTCCCTCAGTAGAGACTATCACAAGAAGTTGCCTCTGTCACAGGGAACTCACAGTCTTTCTGTCACTGCTGCTCCACCCCTGAGCATCAAATAACACCTCTTTCTCCATGATGATGTTTTCTTGTGATTGCATCTTGCTGGACCTCAAGTTCTATGTGTAAGACCTCATAGGCATCCCTGGCTGAGCTGAAATTTGGAGCCTTCACCCCCACTCAAGCAGTGGGGCTGCCTTGGGTTGTGATCCAGGAAAGAAATGGTGAGATTTTACCCCAGCTAAAAAAAAAGTGAAGTCAATGCTTCCTGGGTGAAAAGTGTCAAATTTTTGAATTTCCAAGAGAATACTTCAGCCATGGAAGGGTTAATTCCCTGAGGAGCCATTCCTCCCAGCACAGTGCCCACCTGGGAGCCAGCTGTGTTATTGGCTCCAGCCCTAGCTGCAGGGAACAGCATCATCCAGGCCCTTCCATAAACTGGTCAAAATTAGCAAGGATTTTTTGTAAGGGGTGCTCCAGATACCCCCTGCTGTGACGATGAGAAACCTGTTCTTTACCCCTTTATGGCCTATTTGTACCCATTTAACATGTATTTACCTTCAGGCTGCCAGATTGCAGTTTCTCCAGACACAAAGAATTTTGCTGTTGACTGGCTGGGAGTGGAAGTAACCAGAGCAACACTTGGGATCATCGGGATGGGCAACATTGGATACAAAGTGGCTCAGAGAGCCAGAGCCTTTGACATGAGGATCCTGTACCATAACAGGAACCAGAGGTAAAAACATCTGGTTTGTGCACGTAATTAGTCACGAGGCAGTGATGGAAACCACAGCTCTGCACTATGTTCCTGATCTTCCTAGGCACCTGTGACAGTTGTAAGCAACACGAGCAGCACCAGTGTGCAGTTCTTTCCTGGCTTTGGCTCCCTACTGCTCCCCCCAGGAAGCAGGTCCCCCCTCTCCTCTTGTGCTCACTCTGTCCAGCTGCTGTCAGCTCAGAACAAGGGTCATGTATGCTTCCTGAAGATGCTGTGCAAGCAAACCAGGCCTCGTGCCTGCATTGTGTCCCCTGTCCTGCCAGACTCTTCTTCAGGCTTCCGACAGCATCCCTGACCCACCAGGCCAGTAACATCTCTCCTCCACCCAGCCAGATCACTCATCACACCAGCACCAATGGCAAGGGTCTTAACTTCTCTTAGTTTTATAGCTCCCTGTCTTTCAGACTTCACTTCCTCTTCTTTTCCACCTCAAGTCCTAACTCATGTATCAGGCAAGAAGAGACTCTGCAGGGATTGGCACAGACACAGGAGAGAAGAGTGGGGTCTGACTTCCTCCCCAGCCTCTGATACCTAACCACCTGTGTGTTTTGCTTTCACACATACACCACTCCTTCAGTGTCTCACCACTCTTCTAGCCTCTTGCTTCCTCTAGCCCACATCCTTGCCACCTCCCTTCCACCATCTGTACCTATCAATGTCTTTAGTCTGGCCTCAAACCCCTCGATCTCTGTGCTGTTCCACATCTCTCCTAGGACCAGTTGATTGTTAAAGTCCATTAGAAATAGTTGTGTCAGTTGAGGGGTGTGTGCATTTTTCCTTTAGAAGAAAGGAGGAGGAGGACACAGTTGGTGCCTGCTACTGTGAGAAGATGGAAGACTTGCTGAAGCAATCTGACTTTGTTATGTTGGTTGTGAACCTGACTTCTGAGACTCAGAAACTGATTGGGAAAAAGGAGCTGGGACTGATGAAACCCACAGCGACTCTTATAAACATCAGCCGAGGTAGGATGATCCAAAAGCACTGTTCGTGGTCCACAGCTGAGGTTGTGTTTTGTCTGATGATGATGACATTCCCCACTCCAACCTCAGATTGTGATACCCCTGTATTGTTTGAGTCATGAAGTAGCTGGCAGTCCACAGAATGAATGACTTACCATAGATCAGATGCTATGTGTTCAAAGTTCTTATGGAATTTAGGGATGCTCAGCAGATGTTCTGTTCTCTTTAGCCTTATCCTAAGAAAGCTTTTTTTTTTTTAGTGGGAGTAACCAAAGCATATGTCATCACCAGTGATGAATGGGGTACAAGGAAAAACAGGTTTAATTTGGAACAGCTCTGTTGAAAAGAAACCTCACATGGGGTTACAGATTTGTTGGCATTGAACAAGCATGTAAGAGAGATTATAGTTTCAGTAAACAAAGCAAAGATGAAAGCATGGAAAGATTGAAGAGAATAAATTATTTGTCTATAATAATACAGGAAGTCAGTGTCAAAATGAGGAAAAGACAGAAACAAATCACATCCCAGAGAAAGCCGTATGCAGAAGACCATAATCCTCCTCTAATTAAAGAATAATAAAGAAAACCTGTTTTGTTTAGTTAATGGTTAGTAGGAAGTCTACTTTCTAACAAGACAAAGGTCCTGTAATTTTTCTCACTAGACCGTTGAGACCTTTCCCCACTCCCAGGTGAAAATGTGCTCATTAACCTATCACAAGATTTCACTTCAATGCAGGTGCAGTTATTGATCAAGATGCATTGGTAGAAGCTCTCCAGAATAAGGTTATTAGGGCTGCTGCCCTGGATGTGACATATCCTGAGCCTCTGCCAAGGTAAAGAAACTTGTTTTCCATTCTGTTAATCTGAAATGTTTTAAACTGTATGCAGAAGTGTGCTCATAATCTTGATCTCCCTGGGGAGTCTCACTGCTTAAGGGCAAAACCTCAGCCTGTCTCACACAACTGTAAATAAATCACAAACTATTTGCCTTTCCCACATCTGTCAGTTCTTTGCCAGCCTAACTGGCAGCCAAGGCAACAACACCAATAGGGAGGGAGAAGCTGGTAAGCAAGCTCCACACAGCCTTCTGCTGGTTCTGTGCTTGTGGCCCTTTTATCTCAACACGCCACTGCCTTTTCCCAATGTTCGGTGCATAGTTCACTAGTGTGGGATAACTGCAGAGTAAATTCCCTGTGTAATACATTCTACTCTTTCTGTTTCTTTCAGAGCTCATCCTTTATTAAAATTAAATAACATCATCATAACCCCCCACATTGGAACTGCAACAGTCCAAGCTATCCGTATGATGGCAGAAGAAGCAATAGTAAATATGCTGGCTGTTCTCAATGGCCAGCCCATTCCAAGTGAAGTGTTTCCCAAGTGATGTATGCCAGATGATACCACTAAATCTCACATGAATGGGGAAAGCACTATTTCTTACATTAGTGCTTTTAAATTAAAAAAAAAGCAACCTGTTCTCCTGTGCTGTGCTGCTTGTCATGACACTGCAAAGCTGTCATCTCACTAGACTTGATCTGTACTGTTTCTTACAATTCTGAATAATAAAGTGGAACTAATAAAAGAGATTTGTTTGAAGATTTTAAACAGAGCAGTTATGCACTTTGATGTCTTCGTCCATTATTTCAATGGATACCTGTGTTCTGTTCCCAGTACTTGCTGGTACCTAATGCAAGTCCACCAAGCCATTTGTATGACATTTTCAAACATATTAAAGGCAAACTGAGCATTAATTCCCTGCAGAAACTTCACTGTATCCTGAAACACTTTTCAGCTAATGTTGCAATATTCTATTTTTATATCAAAACACTGAAGAAAGCAAACTCATTTGAAGGGATCGTAGGCTAAGGCTTTCTAAAATAAGAGGAGCTCTGTTTCATCTACAAGTTAAATCAAAACAAAGCCATTAAATGTAAAAGTATCTTTGATCTTCTGGAGGGCATCCTTTGAAAACCAAAGTAAATCTCAAGAGATTTAGTTCCTCCATACAGACAAAAATGATACTTTTATCTTAACTGGCCATGAAACAATGGTAGATCTACCATTGAAATCACATTGGTTAGGGCACAGCTCAAAGCAAAATGGATGATCAGTCCTAACTTGCAGCCCAGGGCCGAGCTCTTTCTGACATCCTCTTTCCTAGGAGCAAGCAACAAAGTCAGAAAATTCAGTGAAATGTTTGTCACCTCCATAAAATCAGGAAGCCTTTCCATGCTCTTGCAATATGGTCAGGCTTCTTGAAGGGATGGTAAAATTAAGTTTTAGTAGAGGAAGCGTAGACACGCCAAGAGTTAGACACTTAGATGCAAATACTGAAATACTGCTAACAAGACAATAGCAGTTTTGCTATAGGGGATTCCAAGATCTTCAGCCCTTGGAAAGCTCTACCCAAAATTCCTATGGAAAATCAATGATAGCTATAATCTATTAAAAAAAAAAACAAAAACACACACCCTCTCCCCCCCCCAAAAAAAAAAATAATAAAAAAAAAAAAAAAATCAAACCTATCGTTTTATAGATCCCCTGGGAACCACAAACAGATAGTCACTAATTACAGAAAAAAAAACAAAACAGTTTTTAATTTCACTGCTTAAGTCCATCTTGGAAAACCTTTGCCTAACCACCTATTACTTTGTTAACTTATGACAGTCTCAGGAGAAGCCACTGGTGTCCTTTCAGGACAAGAGGCTGCAAAAATCGTCATGCAACAAAGCATTTAAAAATTAACCTGGTAACTCAAAGTTCACGGTGAAACTGTGCAATTTATTTTCACAAACTGGATGACTAAACTACTTAGACATGGTAATCTGTGATTTAAGGGTAGGAAAGGTTTATTGCACCAGACTATGGATGGTCTGAAACTCAGTAATTAATGAGAAATAATTGTGTGTTGAGCGCCTGGTGGCAGTGATATGAAACCTCACAGACTGTGAGGGACAGAACTTGTTCAGACTTGATGAAGTGAATACCTCTGTGTTTGTGTGTCTGTGTGTGTGTATAATTGGTAGTATACTAAAACAGCTGCTTTTTTTTGGTCTTGGTTTGTTTACCTTCCTAGGGTTTATAAGATCTCTTGTCATAGATGTCATGAAACAAGATATGAAAGTGATTACTCTTTAAAATGTCTGAAAATAATGATATGTCTTTCTTCTGACACTTTGTGTCTTTCTTCTTTGTGCAGATCATGGGAGGAGAAGAGCTACCTGGGCTTTTGGTCAATGAAATTGGTGGTGTACATGGGATACTGCAGGGCCACGTGGCATTCCTGAAGAAACATTTCTACCTCATCACCATGAAGGAATTAATTGAAAACAGAAAGCATATGGGTAAAAAGGTCCAAGCGATCTATCTGTGGTGGCACAAACCAGTCATTAACAAGGAGCTCCTCCAGAGCCTGCCAAATTTGAAAGTGATTGCAAATTCAGGAGCAGGGATGGATCACCTGGATCTGAAACTTGTAGCTAGCTTTGGTGTGAAGATGGCTAATGCTCCACGTGCTGTTTCCAGCAGCACAGCAGATACTGGGATGGCTTTGCTGCTGGCTTCTGCTAGAAGACTAGTGGAAGGTAACATCCTAATTCTTTTGTGGCTTCTAAAAATCATACAAGATTTACCTACCATTAACTTGACTTTTCCTAGAGTTTAGGTTCACGTAAAATGTGAAAATCTAAATATGCTGGGTTAGCAAATAGAATAATCAATATTTTAATATATTCTATACATCACAAATATATCTAAGTGATTACATTATATAAAAACGTACGTAACTTATATTTCAACCAGGCATAAATAAAAACATATCAGTTTAGTTTTCACAGGTCACCAGCCTGGGTTGAAAATACTTGAGCATAATCTAGTCACATTCAATTCAAATACAACTTTTTGTTTTATGGACCAAGCAGAATTTAGTTTTTGAAACAAATGGCTGAGGCTGACAGAGGCATGGGCATATGTTCTTAGGGACTGAAATGGGTTGCTGCAGAATTGGGTTAGTCAAGAGGCATTAGAGAGCAACATGGCAGCCTGCTCAAATTTCTGCTAGTAGTGTCCTTTATAGTTTCTTCCACAATTTTATCTTGCCATTTCCCCAAACTGACCTGCCCTTGCCTTGGTTAGAATGCTTTCTGCTTCAGGAAAAGATCTTCCAAATTTATCCTGTTAAATTTACCTGCCTTTGATTTGCCAGCTGTATCACAGAATTCATAGAAACTCAAAGGAGATTTGTCTCCCCCTAAATCTGCTTCTACCTTACAGGGAGAAGACAGATTGAAAGGGAGATTAATTTCTTGTTCCCATCTAGATAAATTATCCCTGATGGCATTTATGATAGCTCTGTCCTGGCATGACTTGAGTTTTATCCTGAGACATCTTTTGATATTTCTGCAATATTATGCTTATGTTTTGGAAGAGCTGGAAATATCAGAAGACTGAAAAATCAGAAGCCTGTCACCTTGCTAGCATACTGATAAGTGCTGTCTCTGTGCATGTGTATGTTCTGTGTTGTAGAACTACCCAAAAATTTTGCCCGTTTAACAGATAATTATGGAAATTACCAGTTAGTGATTTTTAAAGAAGCCACACTTGTCTTTCCAAGGAGAATGGCAGAGGTGGACAGGAAACCTGTTCCTAGTCTAAGTAGCAAAACCAACATCTGGTGTTATTCTCCACATGACGTTTCCAAATTCTGCAGTGTTATTTGCAACAATTATTTTGATTGTTGATACAGAACAGGGCAAAATTTTTATGACGCTAAAGGAATAAAAGGATTTTCAGGGGAGATTACATCAAAAGGCTTTTTGGTGTGGAAGAATAAATGGGAATGTCACATACATGTGGCAAGGAAAGATGAAACATTAGGCACTTAGGACATTACAAAACCCATTGTAATTTATAGTTGTGTGTTTGTAACCATCAAAAGTGTGCAACAGTGGCACAACAAGCCCAGACTTTAGCCTTGTGTTGGACACCATTCATTTCTCATACTGGAGTGTTTTTCTTGCAGGCTATCACATCGCAATCTCTCCAGATATGGAGTACTGTGAAGCTGATATTCTGGGAGTTGGAGTTACTGGAGCTACTCTGGGGATCATTGGCATGGGCAGCATTGGGTATAAGATTGCTCTGAGAGCCAAAGCGTTTGAAATGAACATTTTGTACCACAACAGGACACAGAGGTAAAGATATTCCTTGACCCTAATTACAGCAGAAACTCCCTGTATTTAATTTTCAAGTAATTATGTCAGGAATATAGCAAGAAATTAGGGCAGGGCATAGGGCCAAATTTAAAACAAAAGAAAAAGAAAAAGAACAGTTGCCTCAAATCAGTTTTGTAAGGAATTACGTGGTGATTAAACACTTGGAAACTTCGTTTAGGTTTCCTGTTAGAAATTCCAAAGTTTTCTGGAAAAGTGAACAGAAAAAGGAAGAATAAGCTTACTCCTCTTTTATTCTTATCTTACTGTAGTGACACATAACTCTACCTTTTGTATATTTTTCCCCCATATTTTGAAGTTCAGGAATTATCTTGTTGAAATTCTGAATGACTGCATAACCAGGAAACATATACTTGACACAATATGAAAACTGTTTAACCTGAGAGCTGTTCTTGAGAAAACTTTGTTTCTCTTCTTGAGATAAGGAAATGCTAAATTCCTGTCTCAGTACGTAAAGTTAAGAGTGTCAAAATGACTAACGAATCATTTGCTCTATTGTAATTTCTTCTTTGTTATTATTATGTATATAAGACTTGGATTATGTCTCAAAGGTGTGTTAGGTTTGTGAATTATCTCCTGGTGCCCCTTTTCTGCACAGAACTGGAATAAAAGCAAATATCTCAACTCTGTGCTGACTGGATTTTCCACACTGGGTAAAGAACCCAGTTTGGGGACAACAAACATGCAGACTGCAGCAGGAGGGTTACTGCTCTAGCTAGCCCATACCAAATCACAAGGGTGGATGAGGCAGAGATTTCTAGCCTTGCTTAGTGTTCTTATTAATTCAGAAATTATAAAAAGAGCTGAGCAAACACATAAAAAACCCCACACCTAGTGAACACCCTCCTTAAGATCTTTCAGAATTTCTTAATAAACCAGAAAAAAAAAAAAAATATATATGGCACAATTCCTTTTTTTGTTGTTGTTTTCCTGTGATTCATCACTAACTCCATCTGATTAATCTTTTTCAGTCTTTAAAGTAATAGTTATGTAAGAGTGCTATAATGAATAATCAATGCACAGTGCAACAGAAGTTTAAAACTTGCTTATTTTAAAGTACATTTACACTTCATGTTTAGGTGTTCAAATGAGATGCAGTCTGCATGCTGCAAGACTGGCAGCAGTTCCAGTCTGGTTTTTACCCACTTAATCTCTGTTTGTTGACCTGGCCACTGAAAGAAAACAATGAAATGCATGCATTAGGAGACACATGGTCCAAAGTTACACTGAGTTGTTTTCTTAGTGTGACTTCTTTCCTTATTTCTAGATTAGGGAGGAGGTAATTCAAAGCCATTCTCTTCCAATGGGGAGTAGAAGATTGTACATGCAGCGTCGTATCATCGCTTCTTTAGTTCCCAAAGTTCAGGCAGCTAAATTTACAGAGATCAGGAGAAAGAGCAAGTATTCTTTTTTACTGCGAAAAGTTCAAACTAAAAGTCTCTCTCTACTTTGGTAACTTCAGTGTTGAATACTATTTTGTGAAAGTCCTGGGACAGCCAGGAGCACGTGAAAGGGCTGCCTTGTTGATTCCACTCATCAGAAAGTGGCAGGCTCACTGGAGGACTCCAATAGGCTGAGGACCGCTGGTGGAGCTCACAGGATGAGTTCTGGTGAACACCACTACTCTGGTCTGAGTGAGTACTGCATCCTGTGAGGTGCAACGTTCCCACAGGGGATCCTAGAGAATGGACCATGTGCTGCCATCTGTCCCAGTGCTTTGCCTTAATCCACTTGCAGATTTCAAAATAAGTCCCTGGACCCTGCACTGTAGGGGCTGAGAGGCAGGCATGTAATCCATCCCCTGCTGTAGGGCTTGAAGCTTTCCAGAAGGGCCTAAACTACATTCACCTTTGTTTGCCACCTGTTTGCTACATGAATGTGATAATCTTTAAACCTATAATCTGTAAACCTTTAGTTTATGCACCAGTGAGAGCACTGAAGAAAATGTTTTCATGACCAATGCCCTGAAATACAGTGTGATCCTTTTTTTTTCCTCTACCAGGAAAGAACAAGAGGAGCAAGCTGTCGGTGCCACTTACTGTGAGAAGATAGACAGCCTGCTCCAGCAGGCAGATTTTGTGATAGTGGTGGTGAGCCTGACACCTCAGACACACAAGCTGATTGGGAAAAGAGAGCTGGAGCTGATGAAACCCACAGCTACTCTCATTAACATCAGCCGAGGTACCGCCCGGAACTGGTCACTGGGCTGAGGAGCGAACAGCAGCCAGCTCCTGTGTGTGATGGGCAGCTCCAGTTTGTGATGGGCAGCTCCTGTTTGTGATGGGCAGCTCCAGTTTGTGATAGGCAGCTCCTGTTTGTGACGGGCAGCTCCAGTTCGTGATGGGCAGCTCCTGTTTGTGACGGGCAGCTCCTGCTGCATCCCATGAACAGCTGGTGCAGACACGGAGCACAGATCAGACACAGTGACGATTCCTCTCTCCCTCCCATTCTCTTTTCACACTCAAATCGTGACCTGCAAATGGCACTCAGGGACACTCTTCTTCCCAACCAGGTGCCGTAGTTGACCAAGAGGCGCTGGTGACGGCTCTGCAGACTGGTGTTATCAGGGCTGCAGCTCTGGATGTCACCTACCCGGAACCTCTACCCAGGTTGCCATCTCTGCTTATTTCTCAGCAAGGACGTGTGAGCCCTGCAGAGGCAGGAAGCCCCCAGGGATCAGGCAGAGGCAGCTCCACCCGGCCCTGGGGTGGAAGGTTGTGTAAAAGTGCCATGAATACGAATGGAGTCAGCCCAGAGGCTGGGTCTGGTAACAGACCAAAGAGCAGCCTGGGTGCAAGGAAACAGCAGAAGGGGGTTCATGTGCCCCGGGGAGCATTAAACCCCCTCCACAGATTCACCACATGAAGCTGCAGGAGTCCTTCACTTACAGGCTGCTTTATCTTAAGGTGCAGCTTGTCGTGAAAGGGTGGAAGCTGCTGCAGTCACCCCTTCTTAGACCTCCTGCATTTCCCTCAGGCTTCCCTCTCCACAGGCTTATTTCCCCAATACAAGGCTCAAGTGCTGTAGATCTCTTGGGACCAGAGGATACTCAGCTTCTGTAAAAAAACCACCTCCACAAGAATGGTGCCTCACAGAGTCAACTGTACTGACTGCATTTTGGGTTGGAAGGAGTTTGGTCATCTTGTGTCCGTGTGACAGGAGGTCACTGTCTGTTATCAGAGTTGCAGAACTACACCATGGTTTAGGGTTAATGTGTCAGAAGGGCTTAATCCTCTCTTCTGACATAGTTAAATTGCTGCCTAAGGGCAAAAGTCTATTTCTGGACAGAAGAGCATAGTATAAAGTCTTAACATGTCCTTTTAATATCCAAAATTACTTGAACATAAGTGATTAGGTTCTGTGGATGTAAGTGAGACCCATAGAAAGTTATAAAAGTTATATTAGATGAACTTGAAAATTGTATTAAATTATATTTAAATACCATGCAAAAGCCAAAGTAGGATTCCTCTGTATTTGGATGAAAACAGTAACTTAACCATCTCTTTTTTCCTTTCTTCCAGAGATCATGCGTTGTTAAAATTAAAGAACATCATTATAACACCTCACCTCGGCATTAAAACAGACAAGGCCACCTACATGATAACAGAGGAAGCAGTTGAAAACATACTGGCAGCTCTTAATGGTCTCCCCATACCCAGTGAAGTGCTCCCGAGATGATGGGCAAAAGCAGCTCTCTTTTGGTTCTGCTGTCCCTGCCCCAGCTCTAAAGGGTTTTATTTTTATGTTTTCCTCATTAAGATAAACTTATTCCAAATGGGCATGGAAAGCTCTGGCTTCGTCTCCCATGTTGTTAAAAAAACAACTTTCACATTTTGATTTCCTTGCAAATTGGAGGAATTCATTACTTTTCACTTCCAACCATGGACAGAGACATGCAGGCTTTAAGGGGCTCTGGGAAGAACAACTTCTGATTGCCACTGCACTTCTTGCTAGGCTCCCTAGTCCTAAAGGAAATGTCATTTTGGATTACATAATTCACCTTGTTCCCATTCTCTTAGCTATCAAAACCACAAAGCTACCTGGCTATAAATTTTACTCACTTCACATATGCAAGTCTCATTTAAACTGTCTCCTGAGACACAAAATTCTAAGGCAAAAGTCAATTTTCAAAAATGTACTCAGAATCACTTATTTAAAACAGGCTGGATTTTAGAAGAATATTTAAAATACTAGCACTAAGGAAAATTAGTCTTCAAGATGAACATGCTACTGTGTTTGTAATACTAAATTTTTGTGTAGTCTATCTCCAGATTTTCAACTTTGTGCAAATATTTGTAAGAACACTTGGAACTCACTAAGCCTCCAGCACCATTCTGTAAGTTTGTGGGAACACAAAAGTCTATAAAAACACACACTGCATTAAAATCCAAATCTATAAATTTTCCTTTGTATCACTGCTTCTGGACATCTGCAAGAATAATTATATTAGAAACAAGATATAATAGGGAGCTTCACTACTGTAAAGAGGAAAAAAATACTTTGATAAATAGGTTTTGTTACTGCAATTATTATTGTAGAAAAAAAATCAAAACCCCATAGCTTTTATCCACTAGAAATAGCCCCTACATTACAACTAGTCATTCAAATTCCCCAGGAAAAGGATCTCCTTAAATAGAAGAATGCTCATGCTACAAAGCTCCCTAAAGCTTTGTAGGAACCAGTTTGCTGTCCTCTTAGTTGTGTTTATGAGCTCTCTGTTGTCTTAATACAAGTCCAAAAGACAAATAAACCAATACACAACTCAACGTGGCAGTGCTATGCCCTTTGTTACGTGACATGACTTTATGAATAGTATGATCATTTAATCCATCAGTAAAATTTATAGCAAATTTGCCATCAAGTGCAGCTAGGATTTTGCCTGTAGTCTCATGCATCTTTAGCAATAATTACTTTTGTCTTTGAGAAGTGCTTTATGATGCTCCTTTGATCTCAGGTATTGAGCAGTAAGTTAAAAGATCACTCATGTCTTATCAGCAAACCCGGAAGCAGTTAATATGAAATGGGGACTCTGCAAGCATTTTAGTGCTTGGGTTTTTTTTTAAGGAAGAAAATTCAAGTAGACTTAACTAAGAATGCAGTTCAGATGCTGTAACTCCATCTTGATAGGTAATGGATTTTTACTTTAAAGTTTAACCATCTGAACTTGAAATCTATGTAAGCAAATGATGCTCAAAAATAATCTGTAATTATTACAGCATTTAATTATACTTTACCTATTACTTAGCCATTTTATAGAGGATTTGGTGTTAGAATTGACTGCCTTAATGTTCAGCATATCAAAATGTGTTTGGCAGACCCCCAGAAGACACGATGTTGTCATCCATTCGTTTGGATTTACAGTCCAAGGAGCCTTGTCAGGGCCATTTTCCCGCGACTCTCAGTCGGTGGG